AAAAAGCCATTGAATTAACCGAACAAGCGGGTACAAAAGGAGTTCAAATACAAATTGCAGGACGTATCGATGGAAAAGAAATTGCACGTGTTGAGTGGATCAGAGAGGGTAGGGTTCCTCTACAAACCATTCGAGCTAAAATTGATTATTGTTGCTATACAGTTCGAACTATTTATGGGGTTTTAGGAATCAAAGTTTGGATATTTCTAAATAAAGAATAACATATTTTTCTTTATCTTTAATGTCCTATATTAAAAAAATGAAAAATTATTCGATTTTGATTCCCAAAAAATTAAAAATTTTATAAGATTGAATTGACTAAAAAATTAAATTAATCATTTGATATTGATAATATTGCTATGCTTAGTGTGCGACTCGTTAGTTTTTTTAGAATGTTTCAATTTTAACAAAAAAAAAAAAATAAACCGATTCATAGTATAAAAAAAAAAAAAAGAATGAATAACCAACGCATTGCTTCGTATTATCTAGATCTAAAGAGCTAGTCAAAACAAACAATAAAAAAAAGATATGATATATATATATTGATAATATAATTAATAATTATAGCAACTAAAATATTGTGCAGCAGAAAAAAAAAAAAAAACAAAAAAATATTATTATTAGTTGTAAAGCAATTAAGAATATATGGATAAATGAAGGGGTGAAAGAAAGAAAGAAAAGTATATTAATGATATAGAATTCTAATATGTAAAGGTCTATGGGTCATCTCATAAAAGGTAGTGTAATAAAGCATCAATTTAAATATATATTCATATATTTATGAATATATTCGTAACATAAACAAATTAAGAGCTCTGAATCAAAAAAAAAACTGAGAACATTGATTCAAGAAAAAACAAATAAATATTCTAAAAAAATATTATTAATTATTAGATATGAGAGAGGCTCCATTGTAGAATTCGGACCTAACCATTAATCGAGAAGCGATGGGAACGACGAAACCTGCAAATACTTAAGATTTTATGAAAAACAAATCTTAAAAATTGATTAGGTGGGATGGCGGACGAAACCAAAAAGCAATCCATTTTTTTAGGAGTTGTGCCCTACATTATATCTGAATTTGATAATAAAAGAGTAAATATTCGCCCGCGATAATTTTTATTTTCGATAACTTGGATTTTATTGAATTTTTTTTTTTATTGGATTAGCAAAAATAAAAAAAAAGAAAAATAAAGATTCATTAGAACCTTATAATATAACAAAACAACATTCTCTAGTTAAATTATATACATATACAGATAAAAAAAATTGTTTATTTAATTTATAAGAATACATATTGAGTTGTATATCAAAACAAGATATAAAAATATTGAATAGACAAATAGATTCTATGAAATCTCAAAAAATCCCACGATTCAATTATTCATTAAACATATGAATATTAGTACATATTTTATCGATTTAATCGATATATATATTGAATTGCTTCATTCGCGAGGAGCCGTATGAGGTGAAAATCTCATGTACGGTTCTGTAATAGAGATGGAATTGAGAAACAACCATCAATTATAACCCCCAAAGAACCAGATTTCGTAAACAACATAGAGGAAGAATGAAAGGAATATCCTATCGAGGTAATCATATTTGCTTCGGAAGATATGCTCTTCAGGCACTTGAGCCCGCCTGGATAACATCTAGACAAATAGAAGCGGGACGACGGGCAATGTCACGAAATGTTCGCCGAGGTGGACAAATATGGGTACGCATATTTCCAGACAAACCAGTTACAGTAAGACCTACTGAAACACGTATGGGTTCGGGAAAAGGATCTCCCGAATATTGGGTAGCTGTCGTTAAACCAGGGAAAATACTTTATGAAATGGGCGGGGTCCCAGAAAATATAGCGAGAAAGGCTATTTCAATAGCATCATCCAAGATGCCTATACGAACTCAATTCATTATTTCAGGATAATAAATTAGAACCAAAGGAAAGAGGTCTTTAGGATGAAAACAAAAAAATGAAAATGTAGATTACTTTTTTTGAACACATAATATTTTTACTTCAATCTTTGTACTGAAAGAACAAAAAAATGATATGATTCAACCTCAAACTCATTTGAATGTAGCTGATAACAGCGGAGCACGCGAACTGATGTGTATTCGAATCCTAGGAGCAAGTAATCGACGATATGCTTATATTGGTGACATTGTTGTTGCTGTAATAAAAGAAGCAGTACCAAATACGAACTTAGAAAGATCAGAAGTGATCAGAGCTGTAATTGTACGTACTTGTAAAGAACTCAAACGTAGCAACGGTATAATAATTCAGTATGATGATAATGCTGCAGTTGTCATTGATCAAGAAGGAAATCCAAAAGGAACTCGAATCTTTTGTGCAATCGCCCGGGAATTGAGACAATTAAATTTCACTAAAATAGTTTCATTAGCACCCGAGGTATTATAAGACGAAACCGTGAAATGAATAAATTATTCTGTGAATAAAATGGATTAATTAATGTATTTTATCTCACATATATCCCTTTTTGTAGTAATTATTATAAGTATCAGAAGTAGCAATTATTAGATATATATCTAAGAGATAGATATAGATAGAAATCGAAAATAAAAAAAAGAATAATAAGAGAAATAATAGAATAAAGGAGCATGTTGATTATATAGAAAGGAAGGGGCAAGAATCATTTTCGTTTACCATGGGTAAGGACACCATCGCTGACATAATAACCTATATACGAAATGCTGACATGAATAAAAAAGGAATGGTTCAAATACCATTTACTAACATCACAGAAAACACTGTAAAAATACTTTTACGAGAGGGTTTTGTTGAAAACGTCAGAAAACATAGAGAAAACGGCAAATATTTTTTAGTTTTAACTCTCCGGTATAGAAGAAATAGAAAAGGATCATATAAAAGTTTTTTAAATTTAAAACGGATCAGTACACCCGGTCTACGAATATATTCTAATTATCAAAGAATCCCTCGAATTTTAGGGGGCATGGGAATTGTAATTCTTTCAACTTCTAGAGGTATAATGACAGATCGAGAGGCTCGAGTAGAGAGAATCGGTGGAGAAGTTTTATGTTATATATGGTAATCTTTCTAACATCCGAATTCTATGAGAAACTTCTATCCATTTTTGTAAAAAAGATAAAAAAAACGCAAGTTTTTAATATTATTTCACCCCTTATATAATAATATATAATAGTGAATGCGAGAAGGAGGTTTAACTGGAATTGGAAAAAAGGGGAACTCATGAAGATTTCATTACTAAATGAATAACTTCCCAAAGGTCTGTTTCAGGTTCCCTTATATAATAAATGCAAATTGGATTTTGATTATAGGCTATGTTTCCGAAAAAATTCAATGTACTTTTTATAGGTATACAATTGGGAAAGAAAAAAAGAAGTCATTTAATTAGGGCGTTTTTGAACTTCAACATTATTTTAGTGAGGAAGGCTACAATTAGAAGTTCGAAATTTAAGGAAACCTTATTTTCTTCCAATAATTTAATTTGGGATTAACTTATTAAGGAATGGCAAATATGAAAATAAGGGCCTCCGTTCGTAAAATTTGTGAAAAATGTCGATTGATTCGAAGACGGGGGCGAATTATAGTAATTTGTCCTAATCCAAGACATAAACAAAGACAAGGATAATATTTTCACAAACAGGGACTTTATAAAAATAAAAAATATAATATAGAAATTTATATTTTTTATTTTTATATTATTATATATATATATTATAAATTATTATATTATTTTATATTCTATATTATTATATATTAATTATATATATTAATTATCGAGTTATTATAAGAAATATTGTTGATATTTCAATTTTTGAAATAAAATATTTCAAAAATTTTATTTTGTATTTTATATTAATCGAAATCGAATACAATTAATATAGAAAAATAGAATATTAATTCTAGTTAGAAACTAAAAAAGAATATTTTTTTTTTACATGAAATGGATATATCCATACCATATATCTTGGATTTATTTTTATGAAAGAATTAAATTGAAATAATTAAATATGGCAAAACCTATACCTAAAAAGGGTTCGCGTAAAAATGGACGTATTGGTTCGCGTAAGCATACTCGTAAAATACCAAAGGGAGTTATTCATGTTCAAGCTAGTTTCAACAATACTATTGTGACTGTTACAGATGTACGAGGTCGGGTGATTTCCTGGTCCTCCGCCGGTACTTGTGGATTCAAGGGTACACGAAGGGGGACGCCTTTTGCCGCTCAAACCGCAGCAGGAAGTGCTATTCGAACAGTAACGGATCAGGGCATGCAACGGGCAGAAGTCATGATAAAAGGTCCCGGTCTCGGAAGAGATGCGGCATTAAGGGCTATTCGTAGAAGTGGTATACTATTAAATTTTATACGAGATGTAACACCTATGCCACATAATGGATGTAGATCTCCTAAAAAAAGACGTGTGTAAAACTAAAAATAAACATTGAAAAGATTTCAAGAGAACATTGAAAAGATTTCAAGAGAAATAAACAAGTCAAGGATTTGATCAAAATAATATATTACTATGGTTCGAGAGAAAATAAGAGTATCTACTCGGACACTACAATGGAAGTGTGTTGAATCAAGAATAGACAGTAAACGTCTTTATTATGGACGCTTTATTCTGTCTCCACTTATGAAAGGTCAAGCCGATACAATAGGCATTGCAATGCGAAGAGTTTTACTCGGAGAAATAGAGGGAACTTGTATCACATGTTTAAAATCAGAGAAAATACCACATGAATATTCTACCATAGTAGGTATTCAAGAATCAGTACATGAAATTCTAATGAATTTGAAAGATATTGTATTGAGAAGTAATCTGTATGGAACTCGGGACGCGTCTATTTGTTTCAAAGGCCCTGGATATGTAACCGCTCAAGACATCATTTTACCACCCTCTGTGGAAATCGTTGATAATACACAACATATAGCCAACGTAATGAAACCTATTCATTTTTGTATTGGATTAGAAATCGAGAGGAATCGTGGGTATCGTATAAAAACACTAAAAAACTTTCAAGATGGATGTTATCCTATAGATGCTGTATTCATGCCTGTTCGAAATGTAAATCATAGTATTCATTCTTATGTGAATGGGAATGAAAAACAAGAGATACTCTTTCTCGAAATATGGACAAATGGAAGTTTAACTCCTAAGGAAGCGCTTTATGAAGCCTCTCGGAATTTGATTGATTTATTTCTTCCCTTTTTACATGCAGAAGAAGATAACGAAAACAATCAACAAAAAGTTACTTTGCCCCTTTTTACTTTTCATGATATATTGGCTAAGACTAAACTAAGGAAAAATAAAAAAGAAATAGCATTGAAATCTATTTTTATTGACCAATTCGAATTGCCTCCCAGGATCTATAATTGTCTCAAAAGATCCAATATTCATACATTATTAGAACTTTTGAATAATAATCAAGAAGACCTTCTGCAAATTGAACATTTGCGGATAGAAGATGTAAAATATATATTGGACATTTTAGAAATATAAAAACATTTTGCATCAATTTGAAATCTGTTGGGATAGGATTTTTTCATATATATATATATATTTATTTTAATATAATAAAGGTGAAAATATGTGATTTAAATCTTTAGAACAAATACATATATTCAGAAGAGACTTAAAATAGAATAGATGTATCTAGGGATAATTCATTTTGAAACGACTAATCCCTAGATACACAATCGACATGACATGATATTTTATTTCAAAATGGAATCAGTTTAAAAAATACCTAAAGTTAAGGATTTCTCAATAGGTAATGTTGCTCCAATACCTAACCAAAGGGCAACTACGGTACCAATCAAAAAGATGGTTGTTGCTACTGGACGCCGAAATGGGTTTTGAAATTTATTAACATTCTCTAAAAAGGGTACTGTTAATAATCCCGCAGGTACCGAAACCATTAAAAGAACGCCCAATAACTTATTGGGCACTGTACGAAGTATTTGAAATACGGGAAAGAAATACCATTCAGGTAGTATTTCCAAAGGAGTTGCAAATGGATCCGCGGGTTCCCCAATCATTGATGGTTCTAGAACTGCTAAGCCTACATTACAGGCAATAGTACCTAGAATTACTACTGGAAAAATATATAAAAGATCGTTGGGCCATGCGGGTTCTCCATAATAATTATGACCCATTCCTTTAGCCAATTTAGCTCTTAATACAGGATCATTCAAGTCAGGTTTTTTTGTTATTGGGATAGGTGAATTCTTATAGATCCATCCTCCGAAAGAACCGGATATGATAATTTTTCATCATCCGGCTCGAGCACTAATCAAAGATTTTTTTAAATGTATCTATAGAAAAAATGTATGTGTTATCCACACATAGATTTCGATTCTACGTAAGAAAATAAATCCGATTCTCTTTTTTACGAAGTTACAATTATTTATTGAAATAAAAAAAAAATTGAAGTTCCTATTAAGTAAACTTTAGTAAACGCTCAATACCCAAGTAGGCTTTTCAAGTTGATAATGCTTTCTGGGTGATCTCAAACCTTGCAATTCTTATCCTGTTCAAAAAAAATCTTGGGACTTTTTATGTACAAAGGATTTACTTGTTACTAATATAATCTAACCCGCGTTCTTCTTTAGATCCACTTTTTTTTTTAACTCCGATAATATAAAAAATCGAAGAAATGCATAAGAAATGAATGCAATTTCATACTATGTAAGTTTAGTGAAATACATAAGATATAATTCAGATTATACCACATCACTTATTTTACTGGATCTTACGGAGCCTGCTCATCCAAAATAAAATAGAGTCTGATCATAGAAAAGATTCTCTTCAAATAAAACCAGCCTACCCTCTCCTCTATAGGAACCTTTGTTGGTGGTTGGAAAAAAGACACATTTAATTGTAAATTTAAATGTGGCAGATGAGATAAAGTGATATATCTGCGTGGCCCAATCAATAGTTCAAGTCACACACTCCCATAATCCATTTTTCTTCGGAGAGTTCCCTTCAACTATTCGTATATGTAAAAAAAAAATATAAAAATTCAATTTTTGTTAAGTTAAAGGGAAATATCCAAATACATGTCTTATTTTTTTAAATAATCCATATTTGTAGCAATGAAATTTATTCCTCCCCAAAATCAAAAATGATTTCGATTACAAATATCTATGATCCATCTTCATTATAAAGGACCTGAAATGCCTTGCTTACGTATCATTGAAAAGTGCATTAACATAAATACAGCAGTAAGAAGAGGTAATACAAAAGTATGCAAACTATAAAAACGAGTTAAGGTAGACTGTCCCACACTAGAACTTCCGCGTAATAACTCTACCAAAGACGATCCTATTACAGGAATAGCTTCGGGTACGCCTGTTACAATTTTAACTGCCCAATAACCAATTTGGTCCCAAGGTAAGGAATAACCAGTTACACCAAAAGATGCGGTTAATACAGCCAAAACTACACCCGTAACCCAAGTTAATTCGCGAGGTTTTTTAAAACCACCCGTGAGATACACACGAAATACGTGTAGGATCATCATTAAGACCATCATACTTGCCGACCATCGATGAACTGATCTTATTAACCAACCAAAGTTAGCCTCGGTCATTATATATTGAACAGAAGCAAAAGCTTCAGTAACGGTCGGACGATAATAAAAGGTCATAGCAAATCCCGTTGCTACTTGGACTAAAAAACAAGTAAGTGTAATTCCTCCTAAACAATAAAATATATTCACATGAGGAGGTACGTATTTACTGGTTATATCATCAGCAATCGCCTGAATTTCAAGACGTTCTTCGAACCAATCATAGACTTTATTGAGATAGGTAAACCAATGGAACCCCCCCCAAGAACCGTATATGAGAATTTCATCTCGTACGGCTCAAACAAAAATACCCCAATATTGGTTGTAACGAAAACAAATATGTATAATAGAAAGTTTGAAACTTCTTTATTTAATCTAATACTATGATTATAATTTAATTTTTTCTGACGATAAGAAAAAACTAGAAATACAAAAGCTACTCTTTGGGGTTATAATGCCAAAATATCAAGTCGGCTCACTCATCTTTATCTTGATCTTTTCAGGCCTCTTGAATATTCTATATATTTACTTTCTTTTTTATTTGTGTGTAATGTGATTTTACTGCTGTCTTCTTTATTATTATTATTCTGAATTTTGATTATTGATAGGAATTCTCTTGTTAGGACCATATGAATCAATTAAAAAAAAAACATCAGATTCATACTATAACCACGATGATTCAAAAAAAACCTGAAATCTAAGTCCAAAAATTCCCTGAGTAAGAACTGCTGGATCATCACTTATTCAATGAATAAATATACTGAAAAAACAAAATTCAAAGAAACATTTGTTCTTTGATCAAAAAAAAAAGGTAAAGCTCCGGAAGCTTGAAAGGATTAAAATTATTCCATTTTTTTTTGAAACTCTTTGAAAAGTTTTTTAAGTCCGGTTGCGAGGTCTAAATATTTAGTATGAATCATAGTTCTAATATTTTTAGAATCTATTTTCTATATTCCGTGCTTCAGATACTCGAATAAATATCGGACGGGATTAAACCATCTCTATCAAGATGACAGATCCTTTTTATGTTCTGTACTATCAATAGGATCCATTAAAACAAGTCACACACTCATATTCCGGAAATACAGAAACAAAAAAATTCCACGATCAAACTACCAAATACAAATGGAATAAGCTAACAAACAATAAGAAACCTAAATGTTTAACTTTCCTTTCTATTGAAAAACAAATAACTCGATTCTTGTGAATCTAATTCATAGAAATTCCGTCCAGTAAAATGGACGAATTATAAATCTCTAAAATAATAGATAGAAATATCGCAAATAGAGCCATTGCAACACCCATCAAAGGAGTAGTTCCCCACCCCGGAGCTACTTTACCATACTCTGAATTTAATGGTTTCAATAAATCCCCTACAACAGTTCGTCTTGGACCAGATCTAGAATTATCCTCAACGGTTTGAGTAGACATAAATAGTATTTTTTATTCATTGAGATCTGTTGACTTTGTATACTATTCCGCTGTAAATATAAGGATCTTATCCTATAGATCTATTGTGATCTTGAAACTTTAGAACTATAATAATGGAAACAGCAACCCTAATTGCCATCTCTATATCTGGTTTACTTGTAAGTTTTACCGGGTATGCCTTATATACTGCTTTTGGGCAACCCTCTCAACAATTAAGAGATCCATTCGAAGAACATGGGGACTAGTTGAAGTAATGAGCCCTCTATATATAGAGGGCTCATTACTTCAATTAAGATAATCCAAAATTATTTCATTTTTTCGTTGGAACTTTAGGGGGTTCTCTAAAAAAGATAGCGAAAAAAATAATTCCTAAAGTCGAGACTAAGAGGAATGTATAAACCAATGCTTCCATATATTTGATCGTGGTTTACAATTATAACTTTCATACCTGTTTGTTGGGGCTCATTTCCCCCTCAAAAAAAAGAATAAATACAATGATTTAAATCAAGATTTTTCTAGTTATCTATGTGAAATTCAAAATCATAACAAAAAAAGTAGAAAAGGAACAAAAGAATGTTCTATCAGACTACCTGTCTTCTTGTAGTTGGATCTCCAAGTTTTTGGAAGGTTCCAAATTCTACTTGAGCGTCTAAATCTGGGTCGATACCAGCAAAAACATCTCTGAACAAAGTTCTAGCACCATGCCAAATGTGCCCGAAAAAGAATAGCAAAGCAAATGAAGCATGTCCAAAAGTAAACCAACCCCTTGGACTGCTACGAAAAACACCATCTGATTTCAAAGTCGCACGATCTAATTCAAAAATTTCACCCAATTGAGCACGTCTAGCATATTTTTTCACAGTAGCAGGATCACTATAACTGACTCCATTAAGTTCGCCACCATAGAACTCAACAGTTACACCTACTTGTTCGACACTATATTTAGATTCTGCCCTTCGAAAAGGAACATCGGCTCTAACAATTCCATCCCCGTCTACCAAAACAACTGGAAATGTTTCAAAAAAAGTAGGCATACGCCGTACAAAAAGTTCATGCCCCTCTTTATCTCTAAAGATGGGATGTCCTAACCAACCGACAGCTATTCCATCTCCATTGTCCATTGAACCCGCTCTAAATAACCCCCCTTTTGCTGGATTATTGCCAATGTAATCATAAAAAGCTAATTTTTCGGGAATTTTAGACCAAGCTTCTGATAAATTTTGATTTTCGGCTAGTCCAGCACCAACTCTTCGATATATTTCTTGCTGGAAGTATCCCTGATCCCATTGATAACGAGTAGGACCAAATAATTCAATGGGAGTTGTTGCTGAACCATACCACATAGTTCCAGCAACGACAAAAGCTGCAAAAAAGACAGCAGCAATACTGCTGGAAAGAACGGTTTCAATATTTCCCATACGTAATCCTTTATATAGACGTTGGGGCGGACGCACACTAAGATGGAAAAGACCCGCTAATATGCCCAACGTTCCTGCTGCAATATGATGAGAAGCTATCCCTCCCGGAACAAAAGGATCAAAACCTTCCACACCCCACGCGGGATTTACGGATTGTATCCTTCCAGTTAGTCCATAAGGATCAGATACCCATATTCCAGGACCATACAATCCTGTTACATGAAATGCGCCAAAACCAAAACAAGCCACCCCTGCAAGAAATAAATGAATTCCAAAAATTTTGGGCAAATCCAACGAAGGTTTTCCAGTACGTTCATCACAAAAGATTTCGAGATCCCAATAAACCCAATGCCAAATAGCCGCTAAAAAGCACAAGCCCGAAAACACAATATGTGCTCCGGCCACCCCTTCGTAACTCCAAATACCCGGATTCGTTATAGTCCCTCCTGTGATATTCCAACCGCCCCACGAATTGGTTATTCCTAAACGAGTCATGAAAGGTATAACGAACATACCCTGTCTCCACATTGGGTCAAGAACAGGGTCAGAGGGATCAAAAACTGCTAATTCATATAGAGCCATCGAACCGGCCCAACCAGCAACCAGAGCTGTGTGCATTATATGAACAGAAAGCAAACGGCCTGGATCATTTAATACAACAGTATGAACACGATACCAAGGTAAACCCATGAAAATACCCCTTATATCAACAAAAAATAGACACTATGTAACTTTATTGCACTGGAAAAAATTATACTATGCACTCTAGCCTTTCTGTAGATTATCTAGGAAAAAGGATTAAAAGTTGTTCTAGTTTTTTAGTAATAATGGAACAATCCTATTTGTAGAAATAAAAAGAAACAGATTTATTCTATACCCGATAAGTAACAATACGCAATGGTGGGAAGACGAGAGGAGTTGACAATTTTATCTATGAATATTTAAATAAGTAAATGCAGACATATTCGTTTATCACCCCAATAACCCATTCGTAACAACTTTACTTTATTTAGTATTCCTTTTTCTTTAGAAAAATGCAATATAATAAAAGTAAATCATTTTTAACATGGTAAGCTAATTCTTACGTTTCCACACTAAAGTGAGATATATGACTTTATTTTTTTCTCCATTTTATGCCCATTGGTGTTCCAAAAGTACCCTTTCGAAGCCCAGGGGAAGAAGATGCATCTTGGGTTGATATATAGTGCGACTTGTCAGATATAGTAGGTCATATGGTTTTTACCCGTTTTCTCCCCCGATCGAGATATCCTCTCTTTCACCCCCAAAAGAGAATGATGAAATCATAAAAAATTTGGAGCGTGAAATGTAATGAAGTATAATTCGATTGATTTTTTGGTTTTTAGAGGGGATATCCAGATTCTTATTCTAAATTATTCATAATTTATGGTTGGCTCGATTGGACCAATAAAATAAAGTACCCAGGCTCTGTTTAGAAAAAAACCAATTGGTAATATATCTACGATCACCACTTCGATCATATCATATATTTTACAGAAAACATAAAAAAAGATATTAAGAAAAGAAAGCAGTTATAACAAAAAGATATAGTATTGTAATATTTGTCCTATATGTGCAAATCCAAATCGGGCAGATCTTTACTCAGAGTAGAAACGAAACCTAAAAAAATGGAAAAAGTCCATTCAGAAACAAGAAAATTACATTGTGATTGGGATTCAATCTCGATGAAAGCAATACATCAATGAGAAGTTAGTTCAATAAAATGAGTATAGTATTATTTTCTTTAAAAGTTTGAAGAAGTCCATTCTGAAAAGAGAAAGAGGTTCAAAATCGACACATTGATTCCTTTTTTTATTATATGATTTTTGGTGAACTGTATGCATCAAAAGGCGCATGTACGGCTCTTAAGGAAAAAAATGGAATCCTAATCAATCGACTTTATCGAGAAAGATTACTTTTTTTAGGTCAAGAGGTTGATAGTGAAATATCGAATCAACTTATTGGTCTTATGGTATATCTCAGTATAGAGGACGATAATAAAGATTTGTATCTGTTTATAAATTCTCCGGGAGGGTGGGTAATCCCCGGAATAGCTATTTATGATACTATGCAATTTGTACAACCAGATGTACAAACAGTATGTATGGGATTAGCCGCTTCAATGGGATCCTTTATTCTGGCAGGAGGAGAAATTACCAAACGTTTAGCATTCCCTCACGCTCGGCGCCAATGATTCTTTTATTTGAGAATATATATAAAGACTATACCTTCGCCATAAAAACATTTAATAAGTAATAATAGCATGGTATTTCGAATTCCATATGAAAATTTAGGTTTTTTAAACCATTCGATTCTATATAGAAAGAGTAGTATGAAAAAGAGGGTATTTACAATTTTATCTGATCTATCAGGAACCTAGTTAAATTTGAGTGTCACAGACTTTTTTGTTTTTTTCATACCAGAAAGCTTTTAACAATTTTTATTTAAATTAGAAGAAAACATAACATATGAAAAAAAAGAAACTTTCGGATTGTTGAATAACAAACAAAATTAAATAAAAAAAACAACGGAACCCTCATAGTATTTTGAATTCTATTCAAAAATAAAAAAGAAAATGGGTTACTGTATTGTTTATTATTATTATTTAAGGATCTGGATCCAAAAAACCCAGTAGATTTTTTACTTCTTTTTTCTTTTTTTTTTTCTTTGATGGAAGAAAAAAAATTCATAGAAGAAAATACTCTATCTATAGAGGAAAAAAAGAAATTACATACGTGGAAAAGCCGTATGCATCAATACGTATAAAATGCTTGTACGGTTATGGAATCTTATTTTTGCTCATTATTTTTCTTATTTGTATTTATCGCTTATCCCCTTTCTTTAGGGAATAAAGAAAATCTTTACCAATATAGGATAAATCATTATCAAAATCTTTATCAAGATAAGGGAAACACTTATTAAATTATACAATCAGGGTAATGATCCACCAACCCGCTAGTTCTTTTTATGAGGCACAAGCGGGAGAATTTATCCTGGAAGCAGAAGAACTACTGAAAATGCGTGAAACTATCACAAGGGTTTATGTACAAAGAACAAGCAAACCTTTATGGGTTATATCCGAAGACATGGAAAGGGATGTTTTTATGTCAGCAGCAGAAGCCCAAGCTCACGGAATTGTAGATCTTGTAGCAGTTGAATAAAAAATGGATGGCAAACATTATTATAAAAAATACAGGATTTTAAATTTCATTTTTTAATCTTCTTACTTGAATTTGAATATAGTATCTCTAAAAATTAATCTATTAATAGAATATAAGTAATTCGGGGTTAGGATAGATCTAAACCTCCTCATTATTATATATTATATATATATACAACTTACCATGCCAACTATGAAACAACTTATTAGAAACACAAGACAGCCAATCCGAAACGTCACAAAATCCCCAGCTCTTCGGGGATGCCCTCAGCGCCGAGGAACGTGTACCAGGGTGTATGTGCGACTCGTTTAAATCATATAGTAAGAAAAAACCCATTTAATTTTTTTTAGTATTGGCGATCAGTTAAGATAGTGTGAATGGACTTTTTCCATTCACACTATCTTTAATTATATATACATTCCTTTACATTCTTCTATCATGTATCAAATTTATGGTTTTGATTGGTGGTGCAAACCCAATAATATTAATTTGCAATTTAAGATGAGAAATACTTTACCATTGGTAACAAATATTAAGTTATCCATTAAGCGGAGAAAGTACTATTGCAATTAAAGATAAATTTTGTCCTTAATGAATTTTACACGAACGGAATAAGAGGGTCAGCTACCCAGCAAATTTTCAAAATAAAATACCGTTACTGTATAACTAGATTTCGTTGTGAAAAAACCTATTTACTAGATATTGGATGGGTAGAGCCAAAGAATGTGAACTGTACAAGTTAACAATAAAATGGATTAAATGAATAAAAATAAAAAAAAAAGGCTCCGGTGTATAGAGAGGACCTAACTGTTTCTAAAAAAATCGTAGAAACGATGGAACCCACCATTTTTTTTATCTATGTCCTATTTCATTTACTATTACTATGTTTTTTGATACCTAGTATCAATACAATTTCTTATTTTGAGGTTCAATATTTCGAAAAATATAAAAAAATCGTGGTTGGGGAGGTTATAGTAGCAAGAGCCATTGGAATTTTTTTTTTATACATTGGAAGAATCCATTTTTGTTATTAATAGACCAGGAAGAAGAAAAGAATAACTGAAAGAAAAAAATAAAATAGTTGTTCATCAAAGTTTCATTTATTCAATGAACAGAATTAAACGAGGATATATAGCTCGGAAACGGAGAACAAAAATTCGTTTATTTACATCAAGTTTTCGCGGAGCTCATTCAAGACTTACTCGAACTATTACTCAACAGAAAATTAAAGCTTTGGTTTCAGCTCATCGGGATAGAGATAGGAAAAAAAGAGATTTTCGTGGTTTATGGATTAGTCGAATAAATGCAGTAATTCGAGAGAATCCAAAAGTATATTATATTTATAGTAATGTTATATATAATATATACACCAGGCAATTGCTTCTTAATCGTAAAATAGTTGCACAAATAGCTATATTAAAAGAGAATTGTATTTTTATGATTGCCAATGATATCATAAAAACCAAAAATCCCCCTAGACGTTACTTCGGGAAGGTATAGAATAGAAATTTTTATATTTGGATAGCTTTATCATATGATAAAGCTATCCAAATATAAAACCACGCTTTATAAATAAAAAGAAAAAAAATTATTCTTCGTCACCAATTATCTTTTTTTTTTAATTATCTTTTTTCTTACAACATAAAAACCCAAATGGAATTGTCATAGTTTTCGAACAAAACATCAATCTATGTGTAATTGGAATCTAAATTCAAATTGGATTTCGAATTCTTAATTTCTATTTTTTTTTTTTTTAAAAGTAGTAGTTCTAGCGGTCGACTCGTTTTTTTCAAATTGTTTTTCATTATTAAGAAAAGGTAACGAAGATAAAATACGAGCTTGTTTTATAGCAATCGTAATTAATCGTTGTTGTTTTAAGGTCAATCTATTTACGCGTCTTGATAATATTTTTCCTTGTTCACTAATAAATCGACTAATTAAACCCATGTTTTTATAATCAATTCTGTCCCCCGATTGGATCGGGGGCAAACGCCTACGAAAAGATCGCTTGGATTTAAGAAAGAGTCGCTTAGATTTTTCCATGGTTTGTATATTCCTGTTCCAAAAATCACATATATTACAAGAAAGTTTTTTATTCTTAATTTTTTTAATATATGTTGTTATATAATGATATATGTATATAATTTAACTAAAAATCAACTAAACTTTAAATTATAGAATATATATATAGAAAGATAGATATATATAAAGATATATAGATAAATACTAAAAATAGATCATTTTACATGTTATATTCCTTTGGCTGAAAAGGTAACACACAAGCTATCCATTTTCTCTATTTTTTTCTTTCGGCGTGAATTTTATGTTTGCAACAACGGGAACAGAATTTTCTCAATTCCAATCAACTAGGCGTATTGTGTCGATTCTTTTGAGTAATATATCTAGAAATACCCGTTGATTCCTTATTAACACTCTTTTTATCACAACCGGTACACTCCAAAATAACTGTTACTCGCATATCTTTACCCTTGGCCATGAACCTCCTTTGGGTTTTTAATTCACTTAACTCTTCCATTTTAGGATTCGAATCTAAGAAGAAGAAAAGAAAGAAAAAAAATAGAAATTAAGAATTCGAAATCCAATTATGTTATGAAAGATTTCGTTCCAATTAATAATTAATATTAATATAGTAGAAAAATAATACAATGATCTCGAACTAGATTTAATTTCGAATTGTAATACAGTATTTGAGTTTTTTAAGTATTTTTTAGAATATTGTTGCCCCACCCTATCAATTCCATTTCGATTTCTGGTTTCACTCTATTCTAAATCGAAATGGAATTGAATTATTAATTCAATTCCATTGAACCCTGGACCAGATCCCAACTTTAACTCCGAATTTCAATGAGGCAGAATTAACCTTTATTCTTTATCTTTCCTAACTTATTCTATTACAATTTTCAAAAAGAAGAAATCAAAAAGAGGAGATTAATTACATATATTTAATTGGATCTATAATTTTCTTCATCCCTTCCCGTGTCAATAACTAGAATGAAAAAAAGGGGAATATCAATGCATCTGGAAAAAAACGATTGATCTCTATCAAGAGACCTGCCAAAGCCCCGAACCATAGAGTACTTACTACTGGTGCCACGGAAAGATATGTTTTTAGATCTCGCATTTCAAATCCTCCTTTATTAAGTATTATATATATATATCTATATAGAATATTGTTTATTCTTATTCTATGGAATAATATTTCTTTTATTTTTAAAATATTTTTTATTTTTCATATTTGATTGTATATTATAGTATAGGAAACTATAAAAATGGCAGAATAATATATAAATATATGTATATAGATATATCAACAGAGAAAATAAAAATGTGGAAAACAAGACAAAGATTCTTTACAATAACACTAGAAACAAATCGAAAAGGGATGTAGCGCAGCTTGGTAGCGCGTTTGTTTTGGGTACAAAATGTCACGGGTTCAAATCCTGTCATCCCTATCCCTAACTATTACTTTTCTATGATATTCCTTATTATATGAGCAATAGAACGGGACCAATTGAAGAAGAATTCCAATTGGACATAAATACTTAATATCTATATGTATATATATATAGATATTAATATATTGATTATAGTATATATATATGCTAAATGTATTAGGATCATCTAAAATAATTTATGAAAACAAAGCGCTCTTAGTTCAGTTCGGTAGAACGCGGGTCTCCAAAACCCGATGTCGTAGGTTCAAATCCTACAGAGCGTGATGGTTCAAATCCTACAGAATGCTATTCTAGTATTGTTAGATTGAGAATTACACTGAAATAATTGAACTATAGTTGAAAATATTAATTTTATCCTTGTGTATTAGGATTAAAACAAATAAATAGGGAATCCATAAACAAAATAGACATTAATTAAAGATCCAACTGATCACCTCGTCGATATTGTAAATATGCAGTTACAAATAATCCAGCCAAAGTAATAGGAATTAAACCTAACACGATTCCAAATAGAAAAACTTCAATCATTTTTTTTGTTCGAAAGGTAAAAAGAAAGGTAATATCTATCCTTAAATATTAATCTATATTGATCATGAATCTCAATGACCGAGAATTGTAAATTGACATAGTAAGGAACTATAGAATATCTTATCCTCAAATTTACAATAAATTTCCAAATTACAAATCAAATAAGTCGTATTTTACTCAGACCAATAAAAAGAGCTAAAGTTATAATTAAAACCGCTAGTAAAAAACCGAAATAACTAGTTATAGTGGACATATAGAAGCTAAATGAAATATGTTCTTTTTATACATATGTTTCTAAAGCACTTCCCTAAATTTCCATTTTTTTTTTTTTGAGAAAAAAAAGATAAGCAAAAATACTACTTGAAAGATACAATTGAAAATGGAAGATTCATCAATAAATTATTAAAGACGACTAAAAAGAAGAAATAGAGTGACATAATTAAGAAAAAAATTCATCATCTGTGACATCTACCCATCCTGTGATTCCAAATCAACAGACTTATTAATCACCTCATGAATTGAGTAAACAAATCGAATGAAAATATTTAGTAGAATTCTATTTCGATTAGAAAAAATATTAAAACAAAAACAAAAAATAAGAACTTTGTTGTTTCAATTTATTTAACTTTGAATTAATATTGAATAAAATAGAAAAAAATATCTATTTGAATTTTATCCCTTTCTTTTTTTATTGTATCTAATTTGTTCTATTTTCCTTTTTTTTAGAAAAAAAAAGGAAATAGCCTTTGAATGTCCTTTACTTTTTGATCTTTTATTTTAACTCATTCGATTTAGTAGTGGGTTCCATTCTTCTAATATCTACAACGAGAAGAAAAAAGGTATCAGATCACTCGAAACTTGGGGTCCACAATCTTTTTTCTTTCCATATTTTATTTAAAAAGAAAGTCTTATCCTTATTTATAACTAAGCCAAGAAATAACCCTTAGTTATGTCTAATACACCCCCCCCCAAAAAAAAAGATAAGGTTCAAAGAAAAAATATCTTCAACAGCCACAAAAAGTCTATTTATAGATTTGGCATCTAATTGAATTATAGAAATAAAAAAATATCCTTTATGAATTATAAGAACCCCATAATTTGTCGTATTCGAATTTTAATTGATCCTGAGTTTATAGTCCGAAACTAATAATGTAAAGAGCCTTCATTTTAAACTATTACTATAAAAATTTACTATAAAAAATTTTTTATTTTTATATATTCAAATTTTGCAAAATTTTCTATCGGATTTTTGAATACATCGAGACAACCGATGAAGAAAGCACTTCTCTAGTACTTTATTTCGCCACTGATTGTGAAATTTCATTGCTCTGTTAGAAGAAGGATAGCTATACTGATTTGGTATACTCAAAAGACACCGTTGGTACAAAATGGACGATCTAACAAGGATTACATTTCAGTAAATTTCGACTTACTGATCTAGTCGTTTATGGAATCGATCCCCCTTTTGACTGTACAAGAATATGTGGAGTTCAACATGTCTGGAAGCACAGGAGAACGTTCTTTTGCTGATATTATTACCAGTATCCGATACTGGATTATTCATAGCATTACTATACCCTCCCTATTCATTGCAGGTTGGTTATTTGTCAGCACGGGTCTAGCTTACGATGTATTTGGAAGCCCCCGCCCAAACGAGTATTTTACAGAGAGCCGACAAGGAATTCCATTAATAACTGGCCGTTTTGATCCTTTGGAACAACTCGATGAATTTAGTAGATCTTTTTAGGAGGCTCCAATGACCATAGATAGGACCTATCCAATTTTTACAGTACGATGGTTGGCTGTTCACGGACTAGCGGTACCCACTGTTTCTTTTTTGGGATCAATATCAGCAATGCAGTTCATCCAACGATAAACCTAATTTGAATTATAGAGCTACGACACAATCAAACCCAAATGAACAAAATGTTGAATTGAATCGTACCAGTCTCTACTGGGGGTTATTACTCATTTTTGTACTTGCTGTTTTATTTTCAAATTATTTCTTCAATTAATAGAAGAAATGGGACATAGTAAATAAATAATATCTATCTATCTATAGATAAACTCTTTTATTCCATTCGGAAGGATATCATTTCATAATTATCTATGACTGTTTATGTCTTTAGCATGACTGACTACTTGATTAAATGTGGAGGAAAGTGGGATAAATGGCCGATACTACTGGAAGGATTCCTCTTTGGATAATAGGTACTGTAACTGGTATTCCTGTGATCGGTTTAATTGGTATTTTCTTTTATGGTTCATATTCCGGATTGGGCTCATCCCTGTAGTAATCGTATTAATTGGGTTTTCGAAATGAAAGCGTAAGAACTCAACAGGGATCCATTCTAATTCGTCAAAGAAAAAGTGGATCCTTGCTGAGTTCTTAATAATTAGAATTTTTTTTATTCATATTTTTTATTCATATAAATGACTAAACAGATAACTTTTTCCGATGTTTCAAAAAATTCCATTTCCCTTTTTTTTTACAAGGTTCTAAGTTGTAAAAAATCAAAACAAAGATTATTAATATAATATTTTTTTATAATATTTCTATTTCGTATAATATTTCTATTTCGACACAAACAAATAGGAATTGGACTCTAGGAAAAGACAAAAAATCCTCCTAGCGTCCCATTTCCCTTATTTTGCTTCAAATTATCTGTCTATATATATATTATGTGTCTATATATATATATTATGTTTAGTATCGAATCCAATTTTCTTATATTTTACAATAGAAAAAGATTTCTATAATAGAACTCTCTATTATAATTATAGAAATTGAAAATCCAAAAAAAAAACAGTGACATAATATTCAAATTTATTTTGGCATTGGAAAAAACAAAAAAAAACAAAATTAAATAGTCTTCCTGACAATATTCATACTCGAACTTTATTTGTATTACGTTACAAGCAACTCTTAAAATATGGTATAAAAAGACTATACAAAAGCAAAGATCCTTTCATAATTTTTTTGATTTATATTATACTTATATTATAGTTATATTATACTTATATTATAGAGAATAGAATTACATAAATTATCAACAAAAAAATTTAGTTATTTTTACGAGTTTAATATGTTGATAAATACGCGGGCCTAGAAATTCATTTCGGACAATTGAACCTTCTCAAATTGTTTCTTCTTAAGAACTAAAAAGATTTGTGCTAAAATAATGGATGACAAGAAGAACAACAGACCTTGGACACGTAACGGATCTTGAAGTACTATTTCCGCATCCCCCTGACCAAATCCACCCACATTAGGATTACTTGTTAATGGCTGATCCAGTTTGATAGATTCACCTTCTGAAACAAGAAGTTCTGGTCCTGCAGGTATAATATCAATCACTTCACGTCCATCCAATGCATCCACTATAGTTATTTCGTATCCCCCTTTTTCTTTCCGTATGATTTTTTTTACCATACCTGCTGCTGTAGCATTATACACATTATTATTACTCTTGCTCCCGTCGAGATAAATCTGACCCCTTCCCCTGTTCCCGCCTACGTATATGGGATATTTTAAGAAATGAACATCTCTCTTAGTAGTGGGATCCGGGGAAAGTATAGGAAAGGTGATTTCATTATATTTCTGACCAGGAACGGGGCCTACCACAATAATATTTTTTTTTGTAGGGCGGTAGTTTTGAAAAGACAGATTACCTATTTTTTCTTTAATCTCAGGCGAAATACGATCTGGGGGTGCCAATTCAAAGCCTTCCGGTAAAATAAGAACAGCCCCCACATTCAAAGCCCCCTTTTTACCATTAGCAAGAACTTGTTTCACTTGCATATCATAAGGAATTCGAACAACTGCTTCGAATACAGTATCTGGAAGTACCGCTTGTGGAACCTCAATATCTACGGGCTTATTAGCTAAATGGCAATTGGCACAGACAATACGACCGGTTGCTTCTCGCGGATTTTCATAACCCTGCTGTGCAAAAATGGGATATGCATTTGAAATGGGTGTTCGAATTATTATATATATCATGATCGATATGGAAATGGATCGAGTAATCTCTTCCTTTATCCAAGAAAAAGCATTTCTAGTTTGCATGGTCTAATCATTGATCCTGAAAATTTCTACAATAAGATTAGGTAGGTCACTCACATAGTTTCCTATCCAAGATGAGGAACCCCTTTAATTAAAAAGGGGATTAAAAAGAAGGAAAAAAAAGAAAAGTTATCTAAAAAAAACTTTAAATTTAAATTGGATAGGTGGATCGTTTTTCCAGTCAGTCATTCATTGAATGATAAATTACTACAAGTGATGGAGATACGCGATTTAAATAACGGAAAATAAAATATTTTAAAATTGTATCTAAAATAACTGGAAAAGTGGAAACAAGACCAGATATTATTTGATCATTTTGAGCAAATCCAAAATCTTTATAGACGAAACCAATCATTAGTTCCCAACCATGGGTTGAATGGAATCCTATACATAAATCAGTTAATAGAAGAATAGAAAAAGCTTTTATTGTGTCACTTAAATTATATATAAATTCTCGAACCCAAGAGTTAATAAGAACAAGTTCTTGATTACCAAGAATGGAATAACCACTTAGAATAAAGAAATATATTATATTTGTCGAGAAGTTCAAAATCGTATTGATACGATCTTCGTTGTGCGTTTTGATTAATTGGATTGTTTCTTTATAGATTCCGGTACGAAGGTTTTGTAAATGTGTTTCCGGACATTCCTTTAACATTTCATCTAAAAAAAAAAGTTCCTCAAATTCTATGAATTTTTTTAGAATACTATTTTCGTGAATCTCATTCAAGAAAATTTCGGATTGCCTAGTATTCCACCAATTAATAAACCAAGATTCAATACTTTTCTTAAATGTGAATGATATACACCAGGGCAAAAAGACTATGGATGTAAGATATAGAAGAGGAATGAATGTTTTCTTTTTTGTCATTTTTCTTTTCGTCTTTAATAAACTCAACGTCATCTCATTCGTCAACTCTATATTATAATAATTTCTATCAAACATAAGTTCTATTAAAAGTTATAGAGCTTATATATTCTCTCATTTTTTTTACTTGCAATTCGGGAGTTAGTCCTTGCCTTATTTAATTTATAAAGAATACATAAATAGAATAAGAAATCGAAAGAATTCACTGTCAATTCAAATGAAGAAAAAAATATTGTTTTTGAAAGGATATCAATTGCTAAGATTTGAAGAGAAAATTATTACTTTTCATGAATACACGAAAGAGCACTTTGGGTTATGAATATAATAGTAGGATTTCGAAACCAAAGAACGTCCCATCTATACAAATCGAAATATTTTGAAAAAAAAAAAGAATCTTTTTTTTTTTCAAAATATTTCAATCGGTACACGAAATAAATAAGGACAATTCTGAAGCTTTTTGTGCAATTTAATTTCAAGTTAAGTCCAATTCTCGTCAGTACAAAAGTGGTACACCCAAAAACATAGATAATTCAGCAGCTTTATCTGCAATTTCTAGTGGAGTCAAATTATCTTCAATACGAGTCAAGGGAATAAACCCCTGTTCTATGGTTTCCATATAAACAAGACTCTCATAAGTAAGGGTACGAGTAAAAATACCTCCTTCTATAACTCCTGTTATTATTCTGATGGATTGAATCTCTTTCATAGGTACTTCGAGAATAATACGACGATTTTTTCCAGGAAATCCCCAACGAAAAAAACACACTTTTCTCTTTTTTTTATCGAAGATATCATAACCACCACCTACATCCCAAAAAATAATGCACCACAAATAAAAACTAATAAAGAGACCCGCCATTCCATAGAAAGACATTGTGGCCCCTTGTGGAATAAATGGAAAATCAATAATTTCCTCAAAAAAAATGAAAAAATCCATACCAATATAACTGGAAATTGCAACCAATAACAACCCCAATGAACCTAAAAAAATGATAAAAGCCCAAAAAAAATTGCTTATTTTTCGAGACTCCGTTATGGAATAAACCAGTAGATGGTCTAATCTCAGTAATATATTCATAATCTATTTAAATTTGCATTGAATTCTAAATTCGTATTTAAACTAAACTAAACTTTCGCTTTCTTTGTTTCTAAAGTAACTTGGCACTATTTTAATGTAAAACTTTAGGAGAAATTCATCGAATTGCTTCCAGATCTAAAAAAAGTATATGAGATTTGTTCCTACTTACCGTATCTAAAAAATCTTGTTTTTTTGAACATAAAGAAATAAAGAAGCCATTGCAATTGCCGGAAAAACTAGGCCCACTAAAGGAACAAAAATGGAAGGAAAGTTTATCATAAAATGGGTACCTCGATTTACTATTTGTACCTTATAAAATAAATATTATTGTTATTTTCTATTTTTCTTCTTATTTATATTGTTATAAAGATAGTATATAATCACTCGAATTCCTATATGGTTATACTAAGTATATAGGAATTCGAGTGATTCTAGCTAAGCCAAAATATCTATCTATATATATAGATAGATATAGATAGATATGGACATATTATATAATTAGCTATATATGTTGCACTAAATAAATGGATTTATTTCATTTCACCTTCCATTTCTAAAAGAAACAAACATATGTATCATAATACACCCTTTTATTATTCTTTTAATACTTTGATCCTGTATGTTTTCATTTTTGATTTTTTTTTCATAATTTCTTTTCTTTGACTGAAAAATAATAATTTTTGGCTATGCCTTATTTTTCAGTCAAAGAAAAGAAATTATGGAATTGAAATAACTCACTCAGAACTCCCTTTAAAAGATAACGCGGTACGATTGAATCGAATAAGCCCTTATGGAATAAATATTCAGCTGCTTGTAAATCTTCGGGTACTGCCTTATTCAATGTTTGTTCAATTACTCTTTTACCCGCAAATGCAATATAAGCATTTGGTTCGGCAATAATGATATCCCCCAACATGCCAAAACTAGCTGTCACCCCGCCAGTAGTAGGAGATGTAAGTATCGATACATAGAATAACTTTTTATTTGTTTGATAATCATATAAAGCAGAACAGATTTTAGCCATTTGCATCAAGCTCAAACTTCCTTCTTGCATACGCGCCCCTCCAGATGCACATACCAGAATAAGAGGTAAAAGTTGATTGGTAGCATATTCTATCAAACGGGTGATTTTCTCACCTACTGTGGATCCCATACTACCCCCCATAAACTGAAAATCCATAATTCCAATTGCTACAGGAATACCATTTAGTTGACCTGTACCTGTTTGAACAGCCTCAGTTAATCCCGTTTTTCTTTGATAAGAATCAATACGATCTTTATAAGGTTCCTCTTCTGAATGAAATTCAATGGGATCCTGAGAAACCATGTCTTCATCCATAGGATTCCAAGTACCCGGATCAATCGAAAGTTCGATTCTATCAGAACTGCTCATTTTCAAATGATATCCACAGTGTTCACAAATATTTATTTTGGATTTAAAATTTTTTTTATAATTTAATTCATAACAATTTTCGCATTCAATCCACAAATGCTTATATTGTTTACTTTCATCGAGATTATTAGAACTTTCACCTATCCGAGAATTTTTATTATTTGTATCATTCGTGCTAGTTATTATACTAGAACTAGAATTCTCACTTTCACTACAATTTCTGCCCTTACCAAAAATGTAACTATAAAAATAACTGTCATTGTATTTGTCACTATCACCTAAAATGAAACTATCAATACAGATTTGAGAATGAAGATAACTATCAATGCAACTATTAATGTTATTATTCCAACTAAATTGAGTATCATACATGTAATGATCGTCATCATTCTTAGAAACATTATTCAGATAGCTAGAAAAAAAACATTCCTGTTCACTTAAAAAAGCCAAAGTTTGATTTTCAATATTTAAAAATATTGAATAATTTTTCCTCTTATTATACCTAAGTAGAAAAGTTTTATCGGATAGGAAATTCTGGATGTTACTTACACTTACTAAATAATGCAAATAATTGTAACTAGCATTGTCACTATCATTCCAACTATGAACTTTTTTATGCATATTAGTTAAAAATAGAGTTTTTTCCTCTATTTACAAAAAAATATAATAAATGTATAGTCATTGGATGAAAAAGAAAATCAAATAAATATTCCATTTTTAATATTATATCTCATTCTTTACTATCAAAAAATGTATATAAATCAAATAACTAGGATTCGTAACTGATAATAATAAAGAGCGGGTCGGTATTTAAAATGATAATAAAATCCAAAATATTAAATAAATTCTTTTTTATAATTTTAAAAATCACCTCATTGGGGGTAATGTATTTATAAGTCCAATTACTTACTTCACTTAGTAACTATTCTTTTTCTTTTTCCTATATTCTATCTTTTATCTCTATCCATTTTTTCATTTTGTTTTGATTTACATTCGATATAAACAACAAGAAATAAAGGATTAGGTATGAATATAACAAAAGAGCGGGGGGATAAAAGATAAAAAAAAAGAGTTTTTAAAATCTATATACAAGTCATCCACACCCCTCTACCCCTCTTTTTTTTTTATTTCATTAATTGAATTTCGTTTGTTGATTCGAGCTAAGTTCCATAAAAACACCTGCCTTTTTTGAAATATCCTGAACAGTTCCTGTAGGTTGAGCGCCTTGTTCAAGGAAATATAGAATAACAGGAATATTTAAATAAGTTTGATTCTTTATTGGATCATAATAACCCACTTTCCGAAGATCTCGCCCCTCTCTTCGGGATCGAACATCGATTGCAACGATTCGATAAACGGCTCATTGGGATAGATATAGATGAATAATGCACCCCCCCTAGAAACGTATAAGAAGTTTTATCCTCGTACGGCTCGAGGAAATTTTAAATTATATGTATGTAAATAATTATGATGTCAAATAAATCAAAAAAATCATCAAGTCAATTAAACTATGACTTAAGTATTTTTCTTTATGAAAAAGAAAAAAAACAACTCCTCATATTTGTAACCCCATAACTCAAATTGGATAATTCTCAAATAACTAAAACGAAAACAAAGCCTTTAGCTATTTATCTATTTCATTTATTGAGTGGTCTCTACCCCCTTTTCTTGCCCGTATTTCGTTTCTTTAGAATTTTTTTTTTTTTTTTCTTTTTTTTTTTTTCGAATAGAATGTATGAGACAATTTGAAAATGGTATTTACTTGTTCCATGATCTTTTAGCTTTTATTTGAATCATTGGGTTTAGACATTACTTCGGGAATCTTAAATCTTTTCAAAAATGGCAGCAACATACCATTTTTTTTTTCTCTGAAAGAATCATACAAAAGGTTAATTCCCGCGGATAAACTTTTGATCTAAATAGTTTTACTAATTCCAACAATTTTTTTGAACCTTGCTCAAATTGGATCCTTTCGATTTTTCTATCAAAAATTGACTTACGAAGTTGTTCTAACTTATTAATTTTCACTAACCTTAGATACTTGCCCCTGAGAAATGAAAAACTCGAGCTCCATCATGTACGATTTACATCATCAACCCCTTTTCCGCCCCCAAAACAATAAGTTCTAGTGGAACAGAACAAATGATGTCGAGCCAAGAGCATATGGATTTCTATATACTAGAAAAAAAAAATGGCGGATGTAAGAATCCACAGCTAATCTAATCAAGTCTTTCAAGTCGCACGTTGCTTTTTACCACATCGTTTCAAACGAAGTTTTACCATAACATTCCTTTAGCTTGGATCCAGTATGTAATTGATTCAATTATATGGAATCGTGAATAGTCATTGATTCAATCGATACATAATAATCGATCCTTTTTACGTCTCGGTTTTTCTTCTATAATAACGAAAACCTTTTTTTTTAATCAAGACGTAAAAAAATGAAAATTAACTCAATATTGTATCAATAAATTTTCGACTCTATTTTTGTAATTTGTAAAGTAGAAAAATTGGGAATTTATTGAAAAAAAAAAAATTATATCTATTATATCTATAGTTATATAGATATATAGTTATCCACAATATATAGTTATCTACAATCATTACATTTAAAAGAAAGGAAAAAACTCGACTTGTTTTTCAATTTACATTTTAGACAGCAAGTCGATTTAAATTAGAGACGAATAATTCAAAAAAAAGGGGGGCGGAGGATAATATTTATCCTGATATAAAATTTGTATTCAAATATGATATACATCATGAATGGATATCATCTGGGACGGAAGGATTCGAACCTCCGAATAGCGGGACCAAAACCCGTTGCCTTACCGCTTGGCCACGCCCCATTTTCGATTTGACACTAATAAACACTATTATTGATATTGGTTTTTCGTCAATTCCAGTTCAAAAATTTCTATCGAAAAATTTGTTGTTAGGATTTTTATATGCGTATATCTATCTATATATATAGTATAAAACTCAATTTATTGATCATTACATAAAATTCAATTAAGATATTGTATAGAAGTATGATTTCTTCTATTTTTGATTTAAGAATCAAAAGATTTTGAACTGGATAAGTTCAAATCAAAGAAGGATTTTGGAAGGTCTTATCTTATTTGATTCTTTTTTTTTTTTAGTTTTATTCATAAATGAATATTAATTTATTGTATTTTTTATTTATTGTATTTTTATTAATATATATATAATAAAAAAAAAATACAATAAAAATGAAAATTCTAATACAAAAAAAGTAAATTTTATTTTCTTAAAGAACAAAATGTTTGTTATGCTTAATATCTTTAGTTTGGTCTGTATTTGTATTCACTCCGTACTTTATTCAAGTAGTTTTTTCTCGGCGAAATTGCCCGAAGCCTACGCTTTCTTGAATCCAATTGTAGATATTATGCCAATAATACCTCTACTTTTTTTTCTCTTAGCTTTTGTTTGGCAAGCTGCTGTAAGTTTTCGATGAGATCTTTAATTTGAGTAATGTCTTACAAAAAATTAAGAATTTCTTAGAAAACTAAAATTCGAACATTTTCTAAATTTATAAGATCAGATAAGTCTTACAGTGTCAATTCTCAATTTCAATATTCAAATTTTTTGGTATATACAAAAAAAATACGGACCATCTCATCATCTACATTTTTTAATTGAGAAATCCGAATCCTATTATTCGATTGGAACCCACCATTAATATCATACCTAGATTGCAGATATGAAAGAGTATTTTTGATAATAGGAATTATTGAGAAATAATAATCAAGGCTCGACTCTTACTACAAATCCAATCCATTTCCGAAACGCATATATACTCGCATATATACTTATATATAAGTATATATATATCCTCAGAATCACTTCATTTTTTAGAAACTTAGTATTTATTAAAAGAAACAAAATGTGTAATATAAGAGAATCTATTCTCTTTCTTTGTCGTTTTTTAATTATCTTGGAGATTTTATAATGCTTACTCTAAAACTATTTGTTTACACGGTAGTGATATTCTTCGTTTCTCTTTTCATCTTCGGATTCTTATCTAACGATCCAGGACGTAACCCAGGACGTGAAGAATAAAAAAAAAAAAATGGATTCTGTGTTTTTTTTGCTTGTGCTCGATTTTTAAATATTTTCAGAATTTTATCTACTTTACATCTTTATCTTTAACTAGTAAATAAAAAATCAAACAAACAAGTAAAACAAACAAAGACGTTCCGAAAAAAATACCAAATCATCAACGGAAAGAGAGGGATTCGAACCCTCGGTACAAAAATTTGTACAACGGATTAGCAATCCGACGCTTTAGTCCACTCAGCCATCTCTCCCCAATTGAAAAAATAGAATTACTTTGTTTATGTGATATAACATAAACAAGAAGAACAAAAAAAGGAACTTAAAAAAAAAAGAGACTTCTTTATTATCTTATTTTTTATCTTATCTCTTTTTTCTATTTTATTTCTATATTTCTATTTTATTTCTATAAATTATTATATTCTATAAATTTAAATATATTATTCTATTTTTATATTCTATTTTTTAGTTTTTCTTTTTCTACAGTCAAAGAGCCCCGCCAGTACCTAGTCGGGCTCTTTTAATTCCCATGAATATTGAATAACAAAGATTTATTTGAATGTATTTTATTTGAAAAAAAAAAAATACTTGTAATTAAAACACGATCAAACATAAATAAGAAATACACGGATGGATTCCTATGATATAAGACCAAAATAATAGATATCTATATCTAGATAGATATAGATATCTATATCTGTCAAAAAACACCTTCAGCAAAAACAAAATCCAAAAATGTAATTAAAACCCCGTCTTTCAAAATGCATTTCGTTAGGAGATCCTCTAATGAACCATGTCAATATTCTAATTATTAGAATATTACACCCCTCTGTTTTCTTTCTTAATTATGTCTGATTGCTTTGTTCGACAAAAGATACAATAATTATATTGTAGCGGGTATAGTTTAGTGGTAAAAGTGCGATTCGTTCCTTGAACCCCTTTATAGTTAAGGGATCCCCCATTTGATTAAAATCCGATCAAAAACTTTATTTCTTACTTAAAGGGAATCCTTTATACCTCTAAACGAATGATTTGCGGTATAATATACATTATCGTAATTTGTATACAAGAAGAATCAATTCTAAATTGACAAACTGAGTTCTAAAATTATGAAACATAAGTTTTTGAAATTGGATCAATAATCCGAGTTTTTTGAGTATGAGTAAAGCATCTATGGAGAAAGATATAGAAAGTTTATTTCTAATCGTAACTAAATCTTCCATTTTTTGTATAGTAGAGATTGAAGCAAAATAGCTATTAAACGATTATTTTAGTTTACTAGAGACATCAACATATTTTTTTTAGCTCGACGGAAATTTTATTCTTTTCCTAAAGATTATCTTAAATAGAAATAGAGAACGAAGTAACTAGAAAAAACATAGATTGTTATAAAACTGCTCTTCTAGAGGGATCATCTAAAAAGCAAGGTGTTTAAAAAACCTATTCATACAAAACAAAAAAGGCTCACATAGATGTTATGGGTCAATTTTTTTCCCATCTCGAAATTTCTTCCGTAAAGGAGCCGAATGAAACAAAAGTTTCACGTTCGGTTTTGAATTAGAGACGTTAAATCAAAATGATGAATCAACGTCGACTATAACCCCTAGCCTTCCAAGCTAACGATGCGGGTTCGATTCCCGCTACCCGCTTTTATTCCCTATTTTTTCTATTTGAATCTATCTTTTTTATTAGAATTATAGAATGAATCCAAAATTTTTAATGAATTTATTAATTTTGTTTTAGTTATTTATATTCAATTGAATTTTATTTTTGATTCTATATTTTCTTTATTTATTATATTATAAATATTGGATTTATCTATATCGATATATATAGAATCTATATCGATATAGATAGATAAATATAGAATTCTTTTTTTTTCTTTAACCTTTTTTAGTTAATAAGGTTAAAGAAAAAAAAAAGCGTCCATTGTCTAATGGATAGGACAGAGGTCTTCTAAACCTTAGGTATAGGTTCAAATCCTATTGGACGCAAATTGGTTTACAAATATCTATCCATCTATCTATATAGATAGATGGATAGATATTTTTCTTATAGATATTTTTCTTATACATATATACAATTTATATCCTGTTCTTCTATTTTTTTTATTCTATTTATATTCGAATTCATTTTCTTAATTATACTCAAATGAAATAAAACAATATTAAAAGATACTAATTATAAAAATGGGAAAGTTAAATTATAAAGTTATTAAATGATTAATCAATTTTTTTCTACTTGTTCCTGGAGTAAAAAGAGTTCCATCTGTTCCTGAATAGCTTCCTTCAAAAGGTCTTCTGCTTCCCCAGTGAATGTCTTGGTAGAAGATATGATTTCTTTGAATTGAGGTTTATTCGTCTTTAAGTAAGCGCGTAACTCAACGAGAAATTTCCTTACCTGTCCAATTTCTAATGAATCAAGATAACCATTCGTTCCGGTATAAATAGTTATTATTTGTTCTTCCACGGTAAGAGGAGCTGATTGGGATTGTTTAAGCAACTCGCGCAATCGTTGACCTCTTGCTAATTGATTTTGAGTAGCTTTATCGAGATCAGAAGCGAATTGTGCAAAAGCTTCTAATTCTGCGAATTGTGCTAATTCCAATTTTAATTTACCAGCGACTTGTTTCATGGCTTTAATTTGAGCTGCCGATCCTACTCTGGAAACGGAAATACCGACATTAATAGCGGGTCTGATTCCAGCATTGAATAGATCGGCGGATAAGAATATTTGGCCATCTGTAATGGAAATTACATTAGTAGGAATATAAGCTGAAACATCTCCCGATTGGGTTTCCACAATTGGTAAAGCAGTCATACTTCCTTCGCCTAACTGAGAACTTAATTTAGCGGCTCTTTCCAAAAGACGCGAATGCAAATAAAAAACATCCCCTGGATAAGCTTCGCGACCAGGCGGTCTTCGTAATAGAAGAGACATTTGGCGATAAGCCTGTGCTTGTTTGGAGGGATCGTCATAAATAATTAAAGTGTGACGTTCACGGTACATAAAATATTCAGCCAGAGCTGCTCCTGTATAAGGGGCAAGGTATTGTAATGTAGCTGGAGAATCCGCTGTTTCAGCTACTACAATAGTGTAGTCCATTGCTCCTCTTTCTTGTAAGGTAGTCACCACTTGAGCCACAGAAGATGCTTTTTGACCAACAGCTACATAAACGCATATTACATTTTGTCCCTGTTGATTGAGAATTGTATCTGTGGCTACTGCTGTTTTACCCGTTTGTCTGTCTCCAATAATTAATTCTCGCTGGCCACGTCCTATGGGGATCATCGAATCAATAGCAATAAGTCCTGTTTGGAGAGGCTCATATACGGAACGTCTGGAAATAATACCGGGAGCGGGAGATTCGATTAAGCGAGATTCCGAAGCTGAAATTTCTCCTCGACCGTCAATGGGTTTAGCCAGGGCATTTATAACACGACCCAAATAAGCCTCACTTACTGGTATCTGAGCAATTCTTCCTGTTGCTTTTACCGAACTTCCCTCTTGTATCATCAAACCATCACCCATTAATACAACACCAACATTTTTGGATTCCAAATTCAAAGCAATGCCTATTGTACCCTCTTCAAATTCCACTAATTCACCCGCCATTACTTCATCAAGACCATAAATACGAGCAATACCATCGCCTACTTGAAGTACGGTACCCGTATTTACAATTTTTACTTCGGTATTATATTGCTCAATGCGTTCACGGATAATTTTACTTATTTCATCTGCACGAATGGTTACCATGAAAATTGCGTAATTTTATTCTTTTTTTTTAGAAGAAAAAATAATTCCTATACTCTATATTATAATAGAAAGACTAATTAGTTATTTTTATCAATTATTTTTTTCTTTCATCGTCCCAAACATGCCAATGTTAACATTGACAGTACGAAAATGTAACTCGTTGTTCAAGCAACTATTTAGAGTTCCTAGAGCTCCCTGTAAGGCTTGTTGTAAAACCCGTTGTCGGACTTGATTAATCACTCTTTGTTGTTCAAAATGAATGGCTTCGTTTTTGTAATTTTCTAATTGTTCTAAAGTTGTATAAATTGAATTAATTAAATTCAATTTTTCTCGTTCGATCTCAGAATAGCCATTCACCCGAAACCGATCTGCTTCCGTTTCAACTTTCCTTAAACGTGCCTGGGCTTTTTCCAGCTGTTCAATCGCCCCTTCCCGTAGTTCTTCTGAATTTCGAATAGTTCTCAAGATTCTCTGTTTTCGATTATCTAATAAATCACTTAATGAAAGTAGATTCTCTTTCCATTCATTTCAAAATGTCTATGATCTCTTCCCGAACCAAACATGAACCTTTCGATTCATTTGGCTCTCACACTCAATTACTTATGGTAAATTTCCTTATTTTTTTTATCTAATGAACCTATCCTCTTTTCTCTATTTATATTTTTATAAAATATTGAAAACAATTCCCAATAGAAGACCAGAATATTCGGAGGACTCTTCTGACCAAACAAATATATGTCAGCAAAGTTGTTTTTTTTCTTCAAATCCAAAGAATTCTTATTAATTTATACATAGGTCATCGATTACGCATTGTTTGTATATAAAGGGAGGGTAAAATTCACCCGTTTTTTTTTTTTCAATTTCTCGCCGTAAAGAGTATTCAAGCTATTTTATCGACATGAGTGTTCTATATCAAAAAAAATCGAAGAATTTTCTTGAAACCATTTCATTTCTGTATTAACATAGTGGTAGAAAGAGTACTACACTGCGTCTAGACTTCAAACTATTCACTTTAACCATGGTAATAGTCCAAAAGTATTGGTTAATAGAGAATCAAAGTAAATTTACCAATAAATCACGAAATGCTATGGTTCTTCAATATTTTTTTTAATAATTTAATAAAAAAAATGGAATTAATTAATTCAGAAGTAATTCGCGGGATTATGCACATTTTCTTAGTTATAACGAAAAAGTGCAGTTTAGTTGGATCCAATCTATTCTTTGAAATAAACAACTCGCACACACTCCCTTTCCAAAAAAAACCAATACACCTAACACTACACTTAGATTTATTGGATTTGTTGCTAAAATATCGGTATTAAACCCGAAACTTCCGGCGGATGGCCAATAGCCCAAACAAAGGAAAGAATCGGTTATATTTTTCATATGATCTCATCTCCTCTTATGAATAGACTCATTTTCTTTCTACGACTCCTATATTATTTGAATTGGTCAATTAATTGGAAGATTCCCTATAAGAATGATACTTATTAGAATTAGATACTAGTTCTTATGTCAATTGCAAAATCTCTCTAGTTTTAACACTTTCCAAAATTTTATAAAAAAAAAAAAAAAGAGTTCGTTGGACTAAAAAAGAGAAGAAAGAAGGCGAATCAGTATGTAAATTCTTCACCTTTCAATTAGTCCTTCCCTTGTGTTCTTGTCCTAACGTTTAAATAATTTTAGGAGTGAAATCTTAATATAATTCGAAAAAGCAAAACCGGCAAAGCAAGTCCAGGGAAAAAAGTATATCTATTTTTAGTTTTCTTTTTTTTAGAATTAAACAAAAGGATTAGCAAATAAAAGCGCTAATGCTACAACCAGCCCATAAATTGTTAAAGCTTCCATAAAAGCCAGACTAAGCAATAAAGTACCACGTATTTTCCCTTCTGCCTCTGGTTGTCGTGCAATCCCTTCTACAGCTTGCCCTGCAGCAGTGCCTTGACCAACCCCAGGTCCAATAGACGCAAGCCCTACGGCCAAGCCAGCAGCAATAACGGAAGCAGCCGATATAATAGGATTCATGATAATTTCCTCATAACCTAAATAGAAAATAAAGAAATAGTTAATGATATAATCAACCAATAAATTATGAATTAATTATTCAATTACCAAGATTTATTCCGTTAAGGTAATTAAGAATAATTCCAAAAAAGAAGAATAGTTATTTAACTATACGAATTACTTCGAGATTTCTTTTTTGGTCTCTACCTACATAGTTTTTTTGTGAATCTGTATAACCTTTGTTTTTATCTTATCTTACATCTGAAACCATTCTTTGAATTCTTCGTTTTTTTTTTTTTTTAATTTCTTTAGTCATTAAATATTTAATCCACAATTAGAGATGAAAGGGAAGGGCTTTGTTTTTTTGAATCCCTCTATAAATTTACAGTAGTAGCAGGGTAATTTTAGATATAAAATATTCAGATATATGGTTAGTTCATATATAACTAGTTCATATAGAATATCACATATACATGGGTTTCTTCTATGCTGTAAACCAATTATTTGTTTTTTAGCTGAAATCGAATTCAAAATAAAAAAATTCTTTGAAACCTCCAAAACCAAAACAAAGAAAGAATTATCTTATAGTGATCAGATTATATACACCCAGTTTGATCCTCCTCACCTCTACCCTATCTTTTTTTATCTTGTTGTTTTTTTTTTGAATTCGATTTTGGTCAATCATTGAATTGAATGTGAATGAAACGGGAATATCTTCTAGTTCTATATAGTCTAGTTCTATATAGTATCTTTTTATCACACGTCGTAAACGTAAATATCACATATAATTATAACTATTCATTTTTTTTTATTTTCTATTTCTTTTCGAATATCTATTCTAATATCTATATATATTGATGGTTACTAAGTAGATTATCTTGAGCCGCAGTAGATGTGCGGCAAGCTAAACGAAAAATACTATTTTTTAGAAAACAACCAGTCAATGGTGGCCTTCCATGGATTCACCTATATAAGCCGCAGCTAAAGTAGCAAAAATTAGAGCTTGAATACCGCTTGTAAATAATCCAAGGAACATGACAGGTATAGGAACTACTAAAGGTACTAACGAAACAAGAACAACAACTACTAATTCATCAGCTAATATATTTCCGAAAAGTCGAAAACTAAGTGATAAGGGTTTTGTGAAATCTTCTAAGATGTTAATCGGTAAAAGGATTGGAGTTGGTTGGATGTATTTACTAAAATAAGCTAATCCTTTTTTTGAAAGACCCGCATAGAAATATGCAACAGATGTAAGTAAAGCTAATGCAACGGTAGTATTTATATCGTTTGTGGGTGCAGCTAATTCCCCATGAGGTAATTGTATGATTTTCCAAGGCAAAAGAGCCCCTGACCAATTAGAAACAAAAATAAATAGAAACATAGTTCCAATAAAAGGAACCCACGGACCATATTCTTCTCCAATCTGAGTTTTGCTCACGTCTCGAATGAATTCAAGAACATATTCAAAGAAATTCTGACCGAAAGTGGGAATGGTTTGCAGATTTCGAATAACTAGAATGGCTGAAACTAATAAGAAAGCAATTACAACCCAAGAAGTAATAAGTACTTGGGCATGTACTTGGAAACTCCCTATTTGCCAATAGAAATGTTGACCTACTTCCACAGCAGATATATCGTATAATCTTTTGAATGTGTTGATAGAACATAATAAAACATTCATATTGTCCTGCCCTCTAAAAAAATAAGAACTTAAAAGGGAATTATTTTGATTCAAACATCTCCTTTCCTTTTTTGATTTGTCTACTTTCATTTTTGATTTTGAATACCGCGACTAATCCCATCCAATTTTCGTTTGTTCTTTTTCTATTTTTTTTATTTTTTGTGCAATTTTTTACTAGTATAGTAACCGATTCCCTAAATTTATGAATCCCTCCAACCAAATCCAATAATTTATTTATCTTATTATTAATCAAGAATTTCGTATATAGCTAGAACGACCCTCACAAATTGCAAATACTAATTTGTTAAGAATTAATCGAATTGAGGCTATAGCATCATCATTAGCTGGAATCGAAATATCAGCTAGGTCCGGATCACAATTTGTATCGATTATACAAATTGTTGGAATTTCCAAAGTTATACATTCTCGAAGAGCCGTATATTCTTCTTGTTGATCGACGATTATTACAATATCTGGTAACCCCGTCATATATTTAATGCCGCCAAGATATGTTTCCAAATGAGCTAATTGTCTCTTCAATATAGCGGCATCCCTTTTTGGAAAAAAATGGAGTCTTCCCGTTTTTTGTTGCCTTCTCAAGTCCCTGAACTTTTGAAGTCGTGTTTCTGTAGTATACCAATTCGTTAACATACCACCGAGCCATTTTTTATTAACATAATGACACCGAGCTCTTATTGCAGCCCGCGCTACTGAATCAGCTGCTTTTTTTTTTGTACCAACAATTAAGAATTGTTTTCCCCCACTTGCTGCATCAAAAACTAAATCACAAGCTTCTGATAAAAACCGAGCAGTTCTAATAAGATTTATAATATGAATACCCTTACGTTTTGCAGATATATAAGGTGACATTTTAGGATTCCATTTTCTAGTACCGTGGCCAAAATGAACTCCTGCCCCCATCATCTCTTCCAAAATTATGTTCCAATATCTTTTTGTCATTTATATTTATCCCCACACTTTTCTTTCATTTCCATTTTTTTTTTATTTTGCAATGAAAGAAAAAGACCCGATATACTGAAATAGAAATAAATAAGTGTTCCGAAGGAACCTTCTCTTCTACCGAAGATTGTCCATTGCTACATGATCCGGCCATTTTTTCTATTTTATACGATTATTCTCTTTATTATTTTTATTTTATTACAAAAATGACCGGAGATGAATCCGTCCTTAGGAATCATTCTTTGAGGAGTTATTAAATCCTAGATTGTTCGGATTTATCACATAAATTCTTTGAAATGAATAATTCTCTATGGTGAGACAAAATATCTCTCATTTTGTCCTTGAATATATTCTTTTTTTTTGTTTCCAAGGTAATTTTGGTATATTGCATTGACTTTGAACGGTGCATTATTCTTTTGAACCCGGTACCAACAGGTATCATTCCTCCTAAAACAACGTTCTCTTTCAGACCTTTCAACCAATCTATGCGACCTCGGAGAGCGGCTTTTGCTAAAACTCTAGCAGTTTCTTGAAAACTTGCTTCAGATATGAAACTTTGAGTATTGAGAGATGTTTTTGTTATTCCCAATAATAGAACTCTATAGCAAATCGCCTCTTCTAAGGCACGCCCAGCTCGTTCGGCTCGCAACAATCCAATTAGTTCACCGGGCGAAAAAACATTAGACATTCCATCTTCTGAAACCAATACTTTTGATGTTATTTGACACACAATAATTTCTATATGTCTATTATGGATGTAAACTCCCTGGGATCTATAAACTTTTTGAATTTTATTAACCAAAGAAATACGACTTTGCGCTACAGTTAGCTCAGCACCAACCAAGAATCCCCAAGGAATGCCAAGAATTCTTGTTATACGCCCGTTCCAAGTATCAACTCTCTTTTCTAGGTTCATCGATATTGAATCAATCGAACGAACTTCTAATACCTGTTCCACTTTTGGAAGACCTTGTGTTATATCACCTGATCTAGATTTTTCATATATAAATGTAACTAATATATCTCCTTCAGAAAGTATTTCTCCATAATGGCCATGAACAGTTGCTCCTGGAGTCGCCAAATAAGGGTTAGCCAATCTTATCCCTACAGAATCCATTTGAACAATTAGAACTTGACCCGATTTTAAGTGTAGTGCATTTTTCGTTTGAACTATACATACATTTTCGCAAATAAATTGCCCAAGACTAATTATTAGAAACGTTTTTTCACAATAATTATGATGGAGAAAATGCCAATTCAAATAGAATGGATTTAAAACGATGTTATTACATAGATCAGGTTTATAAATTTTATCGTTTTCGTCCATTAAATAATATTTGAATACTTGAAAAGTTTCCTTAAATTTGTCAAGTTGCAAATTTTTATTTATCGAAATCTGATTATGAGTTATTAAACGGTATAAATAAAAATTTGCAACTTGAAGGGCTATTCCTAAAGGACCTAACGAATTATGAATTGGAATTATAAGATCTCTTTGAATTTGATTAATTTCTTCTTTTATCCCATTGTAATATTTTACATCATTGAATGATCGTATTTGAAAACAATTAGATGATGACAAAATTATAAAAGATCGGCATTTCTCATTTCTATTCAACAACATACGAATAGTTCCGTGATTTTGGCTAAGTGATTGTTGAATTTTTTCCTTCGAATCAATAGAAAAAAATGGATTGATGTTGGTCCGATCCGACTCATTATCTGAGATAAATCCTGAACCGAGCGGATCATTCCTTTTTCTTATATATGAAATATGGGATTTCACTAAGTCAATTCTTAAGAAATATCTAACCAAACCATTTGTACTTACTTCAACAAAAGAAGCATGCGCATTTTCTAAAGAAGAACATTTTTTGTTTTGATCCCAATTTAAGACTAAACAAGTCCGAACTAATTGAATACTTGTATCATAAATTCCCCGAATTGATTTTCCATTTCTAGAAAGAATATAATTTATAACTTTAAGTTCCAGATTATCTCTTTCTTGGAACATATCTTTCGGAAAAAGTTTTACTAAATTGATACCATCCGCTATTTCATATAAAATGACGGGTCGAACCAAAACAAAATACTTTTTTTTTGTAATTGTGATCCATTGGACATAGATCCCATTTTTCATTTTTTTTGATTCTTTTAATTTTTTTTTTACTATTCGGGGTGGTATCAAGATGGCACTGTGTCTGGATATTTTATCCATTTCTTCGGGAAAATAGATATCCCCGGAAAATATTTTTAATTCAATCTTTTTTTTTTTCTTCTCCATTCGGACCAATCCCCCTACTCGACTTCTTATATTAAAAGTGATTGGTGTATCTACTTCAACGATACTATTGTTCCGTACCATTATGAAAGAAGATTCTGGTAAAATATGCACTTCCTCGGGAATGAAAAAAAAGCGATCTACTTTGATTTGGTATTTTGGCTTAAATTCTTTAACTCCTTTATACTCAATTAAAAAATCCTCTTTTTTTAAAATGGAATTTATACCTATAGTCCTATATTTAGTAATTCCTGAACTCTTTGTTCGGTATTGAGGATCGTCGAAATAAGCAAGAATACTATTTCTACAAAAAATACCATGGATTGGTATTTCAATCGAGATACTGGAAGCTAACATTAGTTCTTTGTCTCGTTTTTGAATAGATTGGAATGGAAATGGAATGATGACTCTATTTCTCCGCCTCTTTGCTAATAAATACGTAGTATCATATAAAATAGCAGTATGTGTAAAATTACAATGATCTATACATATGATTTGATTAAATATTGAATAATCTGGAATCCTTCTTTCTTTTTTATCAGAAGGCTTGAAACGAAATAATTTATGTCTTACTTGATCATTACTTACTAAAAGGTTATAAATATCTCTTTCTCCAGTAGAAAGAAAATGGATGCTCATTTGATCTTGATCTTTTCGGAGTGAAAAAGAGATTGAACCGGACCTGTATGATTTTCCTGATAATATCCATAAATGACTTGTTTTTGGTAAAATATGGACATTACTATATCTAAATTCTGATGCATGGTACACATCGGTACTCCAATGCATTTCTCCTTCTAAATCAGAATAGACATGTTTTCGAACTTTTTCTTTTAAATTCAAAGTGTCTGTTCCTGCGCGAATCTCGGCAATCACTTGTTCTGATTTTACATATTGATTATTTTGAACTAATAGAAAACTTTTTGGTGGAATAGTAACATTATGTGTAATATCACCACTTTCAATAGTTACATACAAGTCTATATAACATAGAAAAGCAGGATGCCCGTGACGTGTACGTGTAGGATGAACCAAATCCTCATTGAATTTTATTTTTCCATTATAAGGTGCTCGCACATGTTCTGCAGTACCCCCAGTGAATACTCCGCCCGTATGAAAAGTTCTTAATGTTAGTTGAGTGCCAGGTTCTCCAATTGATTGACCCGCAATAATACCTACAGCTTCTCCTAATTCCACCAAGTGGCCATGAGTAGGACTTTGGCCATAACACAATCGGCAGATCCAAGAAGTATTCCTACAGGTAAAGGGGGTTCTAATAAATATTGGTTGTGTTTGAAAGGTTTTAAATCGATTGATAAGTCCAATTCCAATATCTTGATTTCTAATGGCAATGCATCGCGAACCTCTGTATATATCGTCTGCTAATACACGACCAATTAATGTTTGTATCCAAATTCTTTCCGGCATCATCCCATTCTGGGTATTCACCGAAATTCCTCTAAAGGTACCACAATCTGTTCGACGTACAACAATGTGTTGAACCACTTCAACAAGTCGGCGTGTAAGATATCCAGCATCTGATGTTCGTACAGCAGTATCTACAACCCCTTTACGGGCTCCGTAGCAAGAAATTATATATTCTGTTAAAGATAGCCCTTCGCGTAAATTGCTTTGAATAGGTAAATCAATCATTTGTCCTTGTGGGTCCGACATTAATCCTCGCATACCTACTAATTGGTGTACTTGAGATGCATTTCCTCTAGCTCCCGAAAAAGACATTATATGGACTGGATTAAAGGGGTCGGTCATCCTAAAATTAGGATTCATTTCTTGTCGCAAATATTCACTTGTAGCATACCATATCTCAATGGATTGACGTAATTTTTCTACCGCATGTACATTCCCATAATGGTGATGTTTTTCCAAAATAAAGCTTTGTTGTTCAGCATCTTGGACTAGCCACCCTTTAGAAGGTATTGTTAAAAGGTCATCAATTCCTAATGAAATGGATGTAGCCGTAGCTTGACGGAATCCCAGAGTCTTTACTTGATCCAGGATATGTGATGTATATGCCATTCCGAAGTGATCTATTAATCTGCTAATAAGTCGTTTAATGGCAGTTCCACCTATCACTTTATTGTGAAAGACTAGATTGGCCCGTTCTGCCATAAGTACCTCCATATTCCACTCAGTGGGATTCGGTTCGACAATGGGTTTGAGTCAATGATTGGAAAACTTCCTTTTCTTTATCTTTATTTGTATAGAAATTGAAAAACTATGATCCTAGTTAAACCGGGAAGATCTGAATTTACACCGGTATCTTAAATTTGCTTATCTTAGATATCAACCATCTATATGATTAGATATCCTAGATATCATATGAGTAGGCCCGGCAAAAACCTTGTATAGCTTCTTCGATTTCTCGATAAAAAGAAATATGACCAACAGTGGTTCGAATGTATATAGAACGAATTTCTTTTTTTGTACTTCTTACTACTAGATAATGCCCATAAATTTCATGATAGGTACCAAAAGATTCGTAATGAACTTCGATAGGAACTTCTCGTGACGAAATAATGCGTTGATCTAGTCGCCACCGGAGCCACAAAGGACTATCGAAGTTTATTCTTTTCTGTTGATAAGCTCCAATTGCATCATAGGAATTACAAAAAAAAGGTTCTTTTTTTTTCGTATACTTATATTTATTATCTCGAATTCGTTCATTTTTATAATTTCTGCAATTCCATGGATTATACCT